TTTAAGACTGTTCTAAGAAACTTTCAAAAACATGTAAACTCAAAGAAATGGCCATTTTCTCTGAAAGAAACTGGTTTGATAGCCATGATCATACTGCTAGCTGCTTTTATCAAAAGTCTTTTGTTGAAACCACCACCTATACTCTTTAAACAAATAAGTAAAATCTAAAACTTCTTGCTTAAAAAAAAGAAAGAAAGAAAGAAAAAGTAAAGAAAAAAAATTAAGCAATCTTCTCCTGCATGACTTTGGGCAAATAATGAAGGCAGAAATAAATAAATTCTTTGAAACTATGAGAACAAAGATACAGCATATCAGAATCTCTGAGACCCAGCTAAGGCAGTGTTAAGAGGGAAGCTTATAGCACTAAACTTCCCACACCAAAAAGTTAGAAAGATCTCAAATTAACTACCTAACATTGCAATTAGAAGAACTAGAGAAACAAGAGCAAACAAACCCCAAAGCTAGCAAAAGACAAGAAACAACCAAAATCAGAGCTGAGATTCAAAAAACCATACAAAAGATCAACAAATTCAGGAGTTGACTTTTGGGAAAAAAAAAAAAAAAAATAGACTGCTAGCTAGACTAGTAAAGAAAAAAGAGAGAAGAACCAAATAAATATAATCAGAAATGACAAAGAGACATTACCACTGACCCCACAGAAATACAAAACCCTTCAGAGACTGCTATGAACAACTCTGTGTACACGAACTAGAAAACCTAGAAGAAACTGATAAGTTCCTGGATGCATACAATCTCTCAAGAATGAACCAGGAAGACACTGAATCCCTGAACAGATGAATAATGAATTCCAAAATTGAATCAGTACTAAAAAGCCTACCAACCAAAAAAAAAAAAAAAATGTCTAGGACCAGATGGATTCACAGCCGGATTCTACAGCTGTATAAAGAAGAACTGATACCATTCCAACTAAAAATATTCCCAAAAATTGAAGAGGAGGAACTCCTCTCTAACTCATTCTATGATGCCAGCATCATCCTGATACTAAAACCTAGCAGAGACACAACAAAAAAACAAAACTTCAGGCCAATATCCTTGATGAATATAGATGCAAAATCCTCAACAAAATACTAACAAACCAAGACTAGCAGCACATAAAAAGCTAATTCACCATGATTAAGTAAGATTTATTACTGGGATGCAAAGTTTGTACAACATATACAAATCAATAAATGTGATTCATCACATAAATAGAACTAAAAACAAAATCCACATGACTATCTCAATAGCTGCAGAATAGGCTTTTGATAAAATTCTACATCCCTTTGTCAGAGGCATTCAAACCAAGGGTTTTTTTACTCTATCTTCAATAGGGGCTGGGTAAAATAAGGCTGAAACCTACTGGGCTGCATTCCCAGGAAGTTAGGTAATCTAAGTTACAGGATGAGATAGGAGGTCAGCACAAGATGCAGGTCATAAAGACCTTGCTGATAAAACAAGGTGGAGTAAAGAAGCCAGCTAAAACCTACAAAGAAATAAAGATGGCAAAGACAGTGACCTCTGGTTGCCCTCATTGCTCATTATATGCTAATTATAATACATTAGCATGCTAAAAGACACTCCCACTAGTGCAATGACAGTTTACAAATGCCATGGCAACTTCAGGAAGTTGCCTTCTCCGGTCTAAAAAAGGAAGGAATCCTCAGTTCCCAGAATTGCCCACCCCTTTCCCAGAAAACTCATAAATAATCCACCCCCTGTTTAGCATGTAATCAAGAAGTAACAATAAGTATCCATAGTTGAGAAGCTCAAGCTCTGCTCTGCCTATGGAGTAGCCATTCTTTTTTTCTTTATTTTCTTAATAAACTTGCTTTCACTTTACTCTATGGACTTGCCCTGAATTTTTTCTTGCGTGAAATCCAAGAACCCTCTCTTGGGATCTGGATCAGGACCCTTTTCTGGTAACATTTTCATATTAAAAACCTTCAATGAACTAGGCATTGAAGGAAAATAATTCAAAATAATAAGGGCCATCTATAACAAACCCACAGCCAACATCACATTGAATGGCAAAAGCTGGAAGCATTTCCCTTGAAAACCAGAACAAGACAAGGATGCCCTCTCTCACCACTCCTATTCAACATAGTACCAGAAGTCCTGGCCAGAGTAATCAGACAAGATAAAGAAATAAAAGACACCCATCTAGGAAGAGAGGAAATCAAACTATTCCTGTTTGCAAACACAATGATTATATACCTAAAAGTCCCCATAGTCTCTGCCCAAAAGTTCCTTATGCTAATAAACAACGTCAAAGTTTCAGGATACAAAATCAGTGTACAAAAATCAGTAGTATTCTTATACATCAAAAATATCCAAACTGAGAACCAAATTAGGGATGCAATCCCATTCACAACAGCAACAAAAAAGAATAAAATACTTAAGAATACAGTTGAGAGGTGAAAGAGCTCTACAAGGAGAATTTCAAAATGCTGCTCAAATAAATCAGAGATGACACAAACAAATGAAAAAAAATCCATACTCATGGATAAGAAGAATCTATATATTGTTAAAATGGCCATACTGTCCAAAGCAATTTGAAGATTCAAGGCTATCCTTGTCAATATACCAATGACATTCTTCACAGAATTAGCACAAACTATTTTAAAATCCATATGGAACCAAAAAGGAGCTCAAATAGCCAAGGCAATCCTAGGCAAAAACAAAAACAAACAAAGTTGGAGGTGTCACACTACCCAATTTCAAACAATACTACAAGGCTACAGTAACCAAAACAGCATTGTACTGGTACAAATACAGACACATAGGCCAATGGAACAGAATAGAGAACCAGAAATAATGCTGTAGACCTGTAACCATCTGATTTTTGACAAAGTTGACAAAAACAAGAAACGGGGAAAGAACTCCCTATTTAATAAACAGTGCTGGGATGACTGGCTAGCTATTTATAGAAGATTAAAACTGGACCCCTTCCTTATACCATACACAAAAATCAACTCACAATAGATTAAAGACTAAATGTAAAACCTAAAACTATAAAAACCTTGGAAGATAACCTAGGAAATACTATTCTGGACATAGGCCTTGGCAAAGATTTCATGATGATGCCAAAAGTAATGACAATAAAAACACAAATTAATAAATGGGACCTAATTAAACTAAAGAGCTTCTGCAAAAGAAACTCTCAACAAAGTAAACAGACAACCTACAGAATGAGAGGAAATATTTGCAAACTGTGCATCTGACAAAGGTCTTATATCCAGAATCTATAAGAAACTTAAACAAATTTACAAGAAAAATTAACCCCATTAAAAAATGGGCAAAGGACATGAACAGACACTTTTCAATAGAAGACAAATAGGTGGCTAACAAGCACATGAAAAAATATTCAACATCACTAATCATTAGAGAAATGAAAATCAAAACTACAATGAGATACTATCTCACACCAGTCAGAATTGCTATTATTAAAAAGTTGAAAAATAACAGATGCTTGTAAGATTGTGGTAAAAAGGGAACACTTATACACTGCTGGTGGGAATGTAAATTAGTTCAGCCCTTGTGGAAAGCAGTGTGGTGATTCCTCAAAGAACTTAAAACAATTACCATTTGACTCACATATCCCATTATTAGGTACTGCCCAAAGGAATATTAATCATTATGTTATAAAGATACATGCATGTGTATGCTAGATGCAGCACTATTCACAACAGCAAATACATGGACTCAACCTAACTGCCTATCAACAGTAGTTTGGTTAAAGAAAATGTGGTACATATAACCATGGAATACTATGCAGCCATACAAAAGAACAACCTCATGCCTTTTTCAGCAACATGGATGGAGCTGGATTCCATTATCCTAAGCAAACTAATGCAGAAACAGAAAATCAAATACCACATGCTTGCATTCATGGACACAAAGAGGGGAGCAATGGACACTGGAGCCTACTTGAGAATGGAGAGTAGGAAGAAGGAGAATAAAAATACTACCTATTAGGGACTATGCTTATTACCTGGAAGATGAAATAATATGTACACCAAATCCCCATGACACACAGTTTACCTATGTAACAAACCTGAACATGTACCCTGAACTTAAAATGGAAGTAAAAGAAAAAAAAACAACACAATACTATTAGCATGAAGAAATGAAGTACTAAGGAATAAATCTAACAAAATATGCACTATATCTATGTGAAGAAAACTACAAATGCCAAAGAAAGAAATCAAAGAAGATTTAATTAAATGGAGAGACTATGTTCATGGATAAAAACACTCAATATTGTTAAGATGTTTTGTTTTCCCAACTTTATAGATTCAATGTAATTCAAATAAAAAGCCCAGCAAGCTATTTTGTGGAGATCAACAAATTCAGCTTTATACAGACAGCCAAGAGACACAAAATAGCCAACATAATACCAAAGAGGCAGAAAAAACTAGGGGAATTAACACTGCCTGACTTCAAAGCTTAGCATAAATGTATAGTAATCAAGACAGTGTAGTATTGGTAAAAGAATAGACAAATTGATCAATTGAACAGAACAGGGAGCCCAGAAATAGATCCACACAAATATACTCATCTGACCTTTGACAAAGGAGCAAAGGCAATTCAATGGAGAAAGGCTAGTCTTCTCAACAATTGCTCCTAGAACAAAAGGCCACCCACATGATAAAACAATATGTACAGGCACTGACTTCACACATTTCACAACTCATAATTCAAAACAGATCATATACCTAAATATAAAATGCAAAACTAAAACTTCCAGAAGATAACACAGGAGAAAAATTTAGGTGACCCTGCATTTGGTGATAACTTCTTATACTAGACCAAAAGCACAATTCATGAAAGAAAACACCGATGATCTGGACTTCACTTAAAATTAAAACTTCTGCTCTGTGAAATGCACTGTTAAAAACATTAATAGACAAGCCACAGACTGGGAGAAAATATTTGCAGAATACATATCTGATAAATGACTTGTATTCAAATATACAAAGAAGTCTTAAAACTCAACAACAGTGCTTGCTTGGGCAGCATATATACTAACATTGGAACAATACAGAGAAGATGAGCATCACCCCTGCGCAAGGATGACATGCAAATTCGTGAAGAATTCCATATTTAAAGATTAAAATAAAAATTAAAAAAACCCTCAACAACAAGAAAACAAAGAACTCAATTTTAAAAGTGAGCTAAAGATCTGAGAAACACCTCACCAGAAGAAATATACAGATGGCAAATAAACATATAAGACTATGTACACCATACACTATACACCTAAAGACATAATAACGCCTTATGTCATTAGGGCAATGCAAATTAAAACAACAAGATACCACCACATGCCTATTAGAATGGCTCAAATCCAAAAACTGACAATACCAAATACTGAGGAGAATGTGGAGCAATGCAAACTCTCATTTATTACTGGTAGAAATGCACAGTGGTACAGCCATTTTAGAAGGCTGTTTGACGGTTTCTTAGAAAGTTAAATATGGTCTTACTATAGAGCTCAGGAATTGCACTAATAATTATTTGCCTAGATGGGTTGAAAACTTATGTTCACATAAAATCTGCATAGGAATGTTTATTACAGCTTTGTTCATAATTGCCAAAAACTGGAAGCAACTAAGATGTCCTTCTAAAAGGTGAATGGATAAACAAATTGTAGTATATCTACCCATGCAGTGAAATATTATTTAGTACTTAGCCATTAAAATAAATGAACTACCAAGCTGTAAGATCTGGAACAAACAAGTACATATTGCTTGATAAAAGAAGCCAGGCTGAACATATCTAAGGTCTCCAATATAATCTTGAGTAGTAACGGTAATAGAAAGTGTCCGTGCACCTGTATCATGTTGTAAATTTTATTAAAATGCTTCTAAATTTAACCATCAATATGTGTTTATGGTTTTTGCATTGACATTGATGTCGATCATGACATTAAGAGGTGTCTTTATTTTCTTCTTTTGCTACAAAGTTTTTGTTTGTTGTTTTTTTTTAAGAATCATGAATTCTTAATGATTAAATAACATCAAACAGATTTTCCTCATCCACTGACTATTAAAATAGCCACATTTTAATATTTGATTCCTTAATATGGTGAGATACAAGGATATAATTTTAGTTGTTGAACTATTGTGGGATTTCTGATGCCAAGTTGTCATGGTCTATATTTTAGTATGTTGTTTGATTCAATTTATTGATATATTTAATGTGTTTACATCCATGTTCATAAGTGAAATGTCGCTATTTTTTTTCATTGCCTTGGTATCATCTTAAAAAATTAACAGGTCGTGTTTCCTCTTTTTTTTTGAGACAGAGTCTCACTGTGTCACCCAGGTTGGAGTGGAAATGCAGTGGCACGATCTTGGCTCACTGCAACCTCTACCTCCCAGGTTCAAGTGATTCCCCTGCCTCAGCCTCCCAAGTAGCTGGGATTACAGGCACCCACCACCACGTCCAGCTAATTTTTGTATTTTTAGTAGAGACAGGGTTTCACCATGTTGGCCAGGCTGGTCTCAAACGCTTGGCCTCAAGCGATCTGCCTGCCTTGGCCTCCCAAAGTGCTCGGATGGTAGGTGGGACCTACCATGCCCAGTCATGTTTCCTCTTTTTTTTTTTTTTTTTAAAAAAAGTGTTTTTTAAAATAACCTTTTAGCAGTTTGTGTAGTGATTAGTTGTTTTTGAACATTTGTTAAAACTGCCTGTAAATCTATATACAGATAATATCTTTATTGTAGAAGGCAGACATTTTAATATTAATTGTTGTTTTTGAATGATTATTTGTTCAGATTTTCTAAGCTTTATTGGTGACTTATATTTTCCCAGAAAATAATCTATTTCATCTAGGTTTTACAAATTTATTGAATATCGCTATTTGAATTATTCTTCTAAGGCTCTTTAAGTCTCTACTATAGCTGTTTTTCTTGTTTTGATCCTTTAAGTTTTCCTTCTTTTCTTTTTTTGAGACAGAGTCTCACTCTGTCCCCCAGATTGGAGTGCAGTGGTGCAATCTCGGCTCACTCCAACCTCCACCTCCAGGGTTCAAGTGATTCTCCTGCCTCAGCCTCCAGAGTAGCTGGAATTATAGGTGCGTGCCACCACGCCTTGCTAATTTTTTGAATTTTTGGTAGAGATGGGGTTTCATTGTGTTAGCCACATGGTCTTGATCTCCTCATCTTCACAACTGGTTTTCAACTGTTTGCATTGATTTTTAATTTTACTTCATGTTTGTTAGAGAACATTGTTCCTATAATATCAGCTTAAAAAAGAAAATACAGACAAATTCTCATTCTGTCACCTAGACTGAAGTACAGTGGCATGATCACAGCTCACTGTAACCTTGAACTCCTAGGACCAAGCAATCCTCCTAGCCTCCTGGGTTGCTGGCATAACAATCATGTGTTACCATGCCCTGCCAATTTCTTCATTATTTTTTTAAGAGATGGGTGTCTCTTTAGGTTGCCCAGGCTGGTCTTCAATTCCTGGCCTCAGGTGATCCTCGTGCAGGTTTGTTTCATGGTTATATTGTGCGATGTTGAGGTTTGGGGTATGATTGAACCCATCACTCAGATAGTGAGCATAGTAACAAATAGGTAGTTTTTCAACCTTTCCTCCCAGTGTCAATGGTTCCCATCTTTATGTCTAACCTTTTTTAAAAAAAATAAGCATCCTTCTATTTGCTGATGCCATTACAAAAACCAATTACATTAGCAACAAAAAAGTGTTTTCTTGAGTTGAAGTCAGAGGCAGTTACTTCCCAAAATGTTAAGTAAAACAGTGTACACATCCAATGTTTAGCTCCCATGTATAAGTGAGAACATGGGGTATTTGGTTTTCTGTTTCTGCATCAATTTACTTAGGATAATGGTCTCCAACTGCATCCATGTTACTGTAAAGAACATAATTTCTTTCTTTCTTATGGCTGCATAGTATTCTTCAGTGTATATGTACCACATTTACTATTTTTAATTAAAGCTAAAAACTTTTAAAAATGCTTTCAATTAAATTGTGACAATGCTTTTTTATCAATATTTTTATTGTGTGCTTATTGAAATATACCTTTTTTGTTTACTTAGACATGTACTAAATTACATATCATTTATATATTATTTTTGTATATATAAAAAGAAATACGTAAGCAAAACAAATCATTTAAGGTATTTCTAAAATTTCTTCATATTTAAATTCGTGTTCAACCACTTTTACTCAGTAGCACAAATATCTGTTTTTCTATCCAGTAGAAAAACAGATGTACCATAAAGAAAGTTTGTGATGCAGCATTTTTTAAAAAGTGCTTCACTATTAACCTCTGGGATTTTCTTACAAATTGCTGACACTGGCCCAACAGGTTTTAATGCTGGATATAACTAAGAGTAAATCAGTATTAATTCTGCATTGATATGGATCTAAATAAAATTTGGGGCTCTGTAAGCATAGAAGAGGAAAGTGGATACTGGGGACAACTGGCAGTCTCAAAAGCATGGTAGTCATTTCCATGTTATATACACAAGGTAAATGAAGCCCAGAGAAGTAGACTAATTTGCCAGTGATACACAATTACTGCCACAGAGCCAGGATGAAGTCCAAGTATATGCAGCTCTGCAATTCTAATCTAAAATCTAGGTAAGTAATACCAAGTGTTGGGTAATCCCAACACTTTGGCAGACTAAGTCAGGAAGACCGCTTGAGCCCAGGAGTTCAAGACTAGCCTAGGCAACACAGGGAGACCCTGCCTTTACAAAAAGTTAAAAATTAGCTGGGCATGGTGGTATGTGCCTGTAGTTCCACTATTCGGGAGGCTGAGGTGGGAGGATCACTTGAGACTGGGAGGCAGAAGCTATAGTGAGCCATGATTGTGCTACTACACTCCAGCCTAGGCAACATAGTGAGACTGTCTAAAAAAAAGTATGTAAATGTGCTTCTTCTTAAACTCAACAGTTCTTTTAGGAATTTAGTCTAAACATACCAGTACAAATGTGCAAACATATATAGGATCTACATGAGTGAGTCACTTTTGCAGACTTTAAGTTGGAAACTAGTGTTGTAAATAAAGGTGGAAGGTTAGGTGGCAGATACATTGAAATTTGAGAGTCAATGATAGCAGTATCATTATTGGTGGAAGCAATAGCATCTATAATCAGCAAGCACAGTAGTGGTGTTCCCACTAGACCAGTTCCGCAGTGTGATTTTGGGAATTTGTCTTGGTAGGCCAGTCTCCAAGATGGTTCTTTGCCATCCCAGAGATTCTGTGAGCTGCCAAGTAGCTTCCAAAACATTCTCTTCCTACTTAAACTGTTAATTGGTTTCCACTGATTGCAAGGAGAAGTCTAACTGATAAACTGGCCTCCTCTCTTTTCCTCCAAACTGACAAGTTGTTACTGCCTTAGGATCTCTGCATTCCATGTTCATCTGCCTTGATCACACAGGGCCCATTTCTTTGTATTATTCAGGATTTAGGCCAAATATCACTTACCTCGCAGCAGAAACAACCCAGATCCTCCTCCTCCGTGTGTGTGTGTGTGTGTGTGTGTGTGTGCATGCACACATGTGTGTCAAGGTCTCCTGTAGCTTAGGTTAGAGTGGCACAATCATGGTTCACTATAACCTCCATCTCCTGGCCCTGGCTTCAAACAATAAACAATTCTCCCACTTCAGCATCCTGAACTCCTGAATATCTGGGACTAGAGGAACATGCCACCATGCCCAGCTAATTTTTTTTATTTTTAATTTTTTGTAGAGACAGAGTCTTGCTATGTCATCCAGGCTGGTCTCATACATCAGTATGTACCATTGCTCCCAGCATGGGTGACAAAGTGAGACCCTATCTCAAAAAAAGAAAAAGAAAAAGAAAAAATGAGGGAGGGAAGGAAGGAACGAAGGAAGGGAGGGAGGGAGGGAGGAAGGGAAAGAGGGAAGGAGAGAAAGAGAGAAACAATAAAAGGAAAACTCCAAACTTTCAGATTTGCCCTGTTAAGGCCACATACCTCCTGTGCAGCAATGAAATACATGAGATTAGTGGAGGCACAGTGTCCAGAGAGATCATGAGAAATGTTGAGCACTAAAAACATGAGATTTACAGTATAATATACTACCTTAAACACTGAATACAAAATAGAG